CTGACGGTCTGGTCATCCTCTGGCTGTGCATCTCTCACATTGATGTAGTTGCCCTCGCAGTACTCGGCCACCCGTTCGAGGTTGGTGTGGCTGTCAATCAGGTCCTGGCGACCCTTGGGGATCTCCTGGACGATCAGCGAGTGGAGGTCGGCCATCATCGTTACCGCCGCGGCTCACCGGCGACGACGCGTCAGCAATGGCTCTCACAGCAGCGCCGCCGCACGCTGCCGACGAACACAGCGTCCTTTGAGAATGTGAGTGCCAGTCCACCCATGGAGCTGTAGGCTAAAATAACATCACTTGGAAGTGACAAAGCACATGTCATATTCAATGGGTCGTGCTGACTGGAATGTCATGTTTTAATCGCTAAATCTACAGCTGTATCATCCCAATGTTGTGCAACCAGAAGAAAATGCCACATGGTGCTTCCCACAAAAAAGACAGCATCTCAGCTGTAGTATTTGAGTAGCAAGTGCCCAAGTACAAACATGTTGACATCTTAAATGGGAGGCAATTTTATGTGATTCAAAGGCAGATGTTTGAAATTAAATGCATTATCAACAAAAATGACTGAAACACTTTTGACAGGTCTGATCTTTTAATTTAATTCATAAGCCATTAAGTTGAATGACTAGGTTTTTAATTTATTATTGGATCATATGCCTTGCTTAACAAAATTTTAATCATTATAAGTAATATTGCAAACCTCAGTGGTAAACGCACATTGACTTAAGACATTTGACCAATGTCATTGCAGGGCTGCTCACTCCAGAAATATCCATCTTCTTGACCTTTTCATACACCCTGAAGATCTGGTCAGCTACTATGTTTTTTTGCCAACAGTCCCAGCAGTATAATAACACCTTGTAGACAACTTAAGCAACATAGATTCAAATTGCACCACCTAGCAGCACTGGTGGCAGCAAGCATGGGGCAGTTGATACAGTGTAGTTGAACAGAGGACCTCATAGACTATAAGCATGGCATAGCAACAGCTTCTATGCAACACAATGCCACAGCCATGAGCCTCCATGCCTATATAGCATAAGTCAGCTGTCAGGAAGAGCTTTCTTTCATGTTACAACTTGAGAATATTTTTGGCTATTAAATGCCACTCACAACAGATTTCTGGAACAATAACTTGCTGGGATGATTGAAGGGGCTGAGCCAACCATCTAATGACCATTTTATGCTTGTTAGCAGTTGAATGCCTCAAAGACCAGATTTACAAGCATTGATTTGCTTAAATTATTGGGGATGGGGCTGAGCTGAAGGTCTGGTACTTATTTCTTAGCTATTGAAAACTTAAAACACCAAGGTTCATGGGCATTAATTTGCTTTACAATAGGATGAGCCATGGTTCTGGTAACCAAACTTGTTTCAAACCTACTTCTCAATATTTTTACCACTTGCTAAATGTTTACAAACAGCAAATTTTATCTATCCTTTAAATGAACAAGGTGGTGGCCATAAGCATGAAACCATGCTAAGGGAAAGCAGGCCTTAAACAATACTCATATTTGGCAAAAATGTCAGCACATTCAAGAAAAAACACACCTGGGAAAAAACAAAGCAAGCATAACACTAAGCCAATTAACAAACCAGCCTGACTGAGGTATTAAGGTTTGCACCTACATGCCCATGGTATAATATTATTAAAGCTTTTCTTAATATTATCAATTTTTGGAAAGGCCTTTAAGCATGTCTCCAGCCATACAAATTCAGATCACATTTTTCCAGACTGATCATCCTTCTAAACATAAATTGGTCTCCATCAAAATGATACCCTGAGAAGGCAAATATAACCTTGTTTTGAAGTTTCAAGCTTGAAAAAGTGGCCTAATATGTTCAGAGTATTAACAGTGTAATTTTACTTATAAGACAGTGTCTTCTACATAGTGTATTTTCCCATTTTCAGGAGTCATATGGTTGGAACCTGTTGCTCTTCATACCTGAACAGCAAGCGACATCTACCTGGGGAATATAAAACATACACTGCAATCACATTATTAAATTGATGCCTGTGTTTTTGCCAACTACCTTTTCACTCATATGTCAAAATGACTTTCTCATGGTCTATGTGGACATAACAGTACTTTGCATGTTTTTTTTTTGTCTAGGTCACTGTGGGGCAATCTCACATGACATGACTGACTGTACTCTACCTATTTCACCAATTTTCAGCCCTCCTGCCATACACAGCTTTGAGCCCTAAACAGCTGAGCAGCTAGCACAAATGCTAAACAACCAACGCAATCATCACCATGCCATGACAGGCATAAGATGATCCATTCCATTTGGTTTTGTACAGCCGGACGTGTGACGGCCGCCGCCGTCGAAAGTCAGTCATATGTAACGTCCCCGTCTTCCTAAACTACAACACACGCACAATGTTGGTAAACCATTTCGAGACTCTAAAAAATCCACAACATTACAGCCTACCTGCCAGCAATCACAACTTACTTGGCGTAAGGCGTTTCCACAACTCCGTCAAGAACGTCAAGAAAACGGGATCAAGGTAACAGAAGCTGTCAATCGGCCTGTTCTACGATCTGTGGCGCGATGGCAGTAAATGTGAACGCCCACTGCTTCCATTTTTGAAGAGTATTTCCAAGTATATCCAATGTTTCTTTCCATATGTCTAGGTTTGTTTTTGAAACCATAGTAATTTATTAACAGAAAGATTATATAACTAATTGTCTAATTTGGAAGATAAATCTAGCATATTTTTGTAATTCTTGCTACTTGGATGTCCAATTACGTATTGATTCATTTCAGAATTACGACAGTTCTAAAAAAGGCAAAGGATTCTTTCACCACGGGATTTATGAATGCGGCCTTATTTGGCGCAGTATAACCATGCCAATTCCTTCAACGTGATGCGAAGTGTTATACTGTCGCCGGTGTTGCGCTGCGGAGCTGAAGCAGCCGCATGTTGATAAAGCCACTTTTTTGTATTTGCATCGTATTAGGCTCCGCGAACTTGACCAGTTGTTGGGAAGTCAGTGGGCCTTAAGTCGTTGCTCATATATACGTTTGTTGAAGGTATTTTCCCTTTTTTATACGGCGAGTTTTGGACAGGTGGTTCAGTCCAGCAACTCAAAGGTATGAAGCTTGGTTCAATTAGGCTAACCTTGAATTTAGGCACAACTCAAGGTAAATGCTTGTAGTCTGCAGGTTGGTCTTCCGACCATGGGAGGGTTGACAGAAATTGATTCAGGGTGTTGCTTTTTAAATGCCAAGCATTAGGGATTGTGAGATGCCCAAATCACCTTCTGGATACCTGTTCATCACATTTTTCAGACTGGTCTGCTGAGTGCTTGCTTGCTAGGCTACAGACTGTTGGGTATTTGGCTATTTCAGGCTATCGTGAACTGCTTAGACCTAAGCAAAAGCACTTTTGCTGTCCCTTTGGGCCCTTGTGGTTTGGGTCTAAAAATTGTCATGGGCAACAGTGAAGGAATCCTAGACCAAATAGCATACAGACAGCCTAGTGTGGTTAGCAATTGTGTGGCTTTGGCTTGTGGCTTTTAAAGATATGTGCATGCTGAGCACCTGCATGTGATGTATGAGTTTGTACATGTGGTGTGTTGCTTCTATATACATAGGACAAATTAGGATGAATTACAGCAGCATATAAAATGAAATAGTTGTGCTAAGGTATGTTGTCCCCTCAAATCATTGACATCATCATTTGTCTGTTTCAGAACTATGAATGTCCGAACAGCTACCCCTGATGACCTGATGAACATGCAACATTGTAATCTGCTATGTCTACCAGAAAACTACCTGATGAAGTATTATTTCTACCATGCCCTGTCCTGGCCACAGCTCAGCTATGTTGCAGAAGATGAGAGAGGTAACATTGTTGGGTAAGTAAAAATGTTACAATTAGTAACATGCACCTTCATGCTGGATGCAATTTCTTCACTTCCCAGACATGATTTTTGCTTTCTAATCATATAGGTTTGGTTGGGATGCCCACTGTTGTTCAATAAAATATATTTTAAGGCCTGCCCTTAAGATGTTACAGTCAACATCATTGGTAATTCACTGCTTCTGAATATCTTGGTGCTTTCATTACCCCAAATGCAGGGTAACTGTATTTTTTACTTCAGTTAACCTTCTATGCTGATAGTAACACATCTGATATCCCCATATTTGGATTAATTTTTCATTGTTGGTATATGTTGGCCATCATTATTGAACCTTCCATGGTAAGCATTCTTTAGAAGACTGGATGAAGCAAATTCCTTGAATTCTTGTGTTTAAGAGAAATAAGCTGAGCAAAAGTGGAGGAGCTTTATTTTCAATCCAAGGAGATGCATAAAAATTACTATCCGCAGAGTTTCAATATTCTGCCTCTTGGGTGGTAGGGATGTTAATATTTTGTCATGCTATTGTTCATGGGGGTCACATTCCCCATTACTAACAGCTGTCCACAAGTTGCAACCTATAACATCAGAAATAAGTGCATCACAACAGCTCCTGTGGCTTGGAGGTCAGTCACATATGTGTGACGTTGGCACTTGTGACACCATAGATAGCAACTCAAGAAGGTACTTTGCCCATGAAGAATGCAACCCTGAGTTGGGGTGCAACCTGTCTTTGCCCCTTCCCTTGCTCAGAATTTGTCACTCAGAATAAAATGGGGGGGGGGGGAGGGCAGTCTGCCCAGCATCTACACAGGATTGGCAAGCCAACAGACAAGATTGATGAAAGGGTTCAGGATTAAAGGACTGCAGTTTAGTAGCCAACAAACTGTGCATACAGATACCATCAGAGAGTTAAGAATTCTGGTAGCATGATTTTTGTCATGCAATGTTAATCTCCTGCTCACTGCTCTTGATAGATTGGGTGATGCTGCTAGGCTGCCCTGATCCCATTACATATTGCACCTCTTGAGACATGCACACACATCCATGCCTCTGAGCTCATTATGCCTAGAAGAGGTTGTCTGACCTCATGCATATAGAAATCCCTTAAATCAGCTCAGAAACACAGAAGTGGATTGATATCACGGACAGATACAGAGCAGCATGTATCCCCACACCAGGTATGTACTAGCCAAGATGGAGGAGGAGACAGAGGACGACGATGACCGCCATGGCCACATCACATCTCTGGCCGTCAAGCGCTCGCACCGGCGGCTCGGACTGGCGCAGAAGCTGATGGACCAGACAGCCCGCGCCATGATCGAGGTGTTCAACGCCAAGTACGTCAGCCTGCACGTGCGCAAGAGCAACCGGGCTGCTCTGAACCTCTACAACAACACACTCAAGTTCAGGTGAGCCAGGCGGCGCAGGTGGAAGGCTGGGGAGCGGTCCACGGCACGGGGGGGGATGGGCTGCTGCTGCGGCCGGCCCATTGATCTGGATTTTGTTTAAATGAGATGAGATCATTGATGAGATTGTGTTTTGGTAATTAGAGGTATGAATACCTGCTGGGTCAGGGTTGTGTGGGGATTGGTCTCTGTTAAGGCTGAATTTTCCAGTGTCTTATCCGTGGCGAAACATTGGCCTAAAACCAGATGGCGTCGGTTTTCATTGACATGTAGTTTGACATCGTGACCAGAGAGCTCCGGCTAGTATTACCGTATCAGTCACGCGTGTTGATAAATACCTGATCGAAAATGGTGGCACTGTGGAGGCGGGCTGATCCGCCCAGGGTGATTTACCGGTGATGATAACTGCTGCTGCCTCCGTGCCGCTTCAGCAAGTCGGACATCGAGCCCAAGTACTACGCGGACGGCGAGGACGCGTATGCCATGCGCCGGGACCTGGTGGAGTTCGCGCGACAGAACGGCATCACGCCCGCCAACCCGGAGACGTTCTTCAAGACGTCGTCCGACCGGCGTCGACACGAGGAGAAGGAGTAGCGAGACTGGTGCGAGGCGTGCGTGGCCGGACTGCAGGGAGGACCGGGCCACAGAGTCACGGCGGAAGGCCCGTCCAGGACTGTCGCTTGCCGGGACGTTGGTGATGTGGTGTCGAATCGAGATGGGCTCGGTATTTGTGGGTATTGCTGTCATCGTGTGCGAATAAAAGGCTTCATTGAGCGCTACCCTCTGTGTCAACACTCTGTGTCAACACTGGATCCTATGCGCTCATTGCCATCAACACAAAGAAACTAGGGTGTTCCCTGCACGGCCTTAAAATGACCGCCACGCTGGGGCGCTAGTAAGCCGCCATGCTCCAGGAACTATAGCAGACCTTTAATTCGCTATGTATGTAAGCAAGATACATATCAGGGAATGATGCTGCGTGACATCCTTTCGGGCGGCATAGGAAGTACGTTAATATTTTTTCTTCCTTGCGTATTCGCGCCCGAACTTGTTTCTCTGTATGGTCCGTCGCTCTGGGGTTCTGTCGGTCCGTAGCCGTTGGCTAACACGAACTACATGGCCAAGTGTGGGGAGAATCTGGTTGACGGCGCATGCTGCCCCAGCATCGTTGCTGAAAGGTGTCGCGGCCGTGGTGTCAATACTAGGACACTAGCGTCACTTCGTTTTCGATGCCTTCGTTGCATGTACGTTTGACTACCAAACGGAAGATTCGTTTGTAATCTCGCTGCATTGCGCTTGGACACCCAGGAGCGGAGCTTAGCAAACAGCCATGGAGGGTGGGTGGGGTGGCGACACTCACAAATATAGTGAGAGTTCATTGAGGAATTCCTCTGATCTTCACTCTGATATTCAGCATCAAGGTTTACGTGTTTTGAGGGGTGTGCTGAACTTTTGGGGGACTGTTGTCTCCCTGAAAGACATACAATGTTCCCGCACACATGTGAGCACGATTCGAAATCGCGTATTTTTCTGATAGAAAATCTGTTGTTGCGAGTTGTGAGTACGTGGACCCGAGCTGTTCGCGGTGTTGACAGTAATGACCGCTAAAATGGTTCTGTCACTGATAAAAGAGACAAATCGGTCATCCTCCATGGCAAAAGATATGCGGACATTTGACTGGTATCACAATGTGTCGACATGGCCGTGAGGAAGGCAAAAATCGAATCGTAAATCGAGTCCTATGATGTTTAGTTCCATGAGCTCTTGATGTAGTGCCAAATAACACGCTATGGCGACGAGTAGATGCGCAGTGCCGACGCAATCTTCCCGTGCTTTTCGTAAGCTGTTGTAAGCTTCGAAGTACTTGCGGTCCGTGGGTGGTGCCGCCTTGGGTGGTGCCGTTCGTGCCTCACTGGGTGGGGGCCTGTCGATTCGCAGAAGTATATATTGCACCGGCGCTGTGGGATCGCTGCCTTAATTAAAGATGCCGACCGTGGGTGTGAAACGTGACCTTCTGTTCCAAGCACTGGGAAGATCATACAGTGAGTCATCAGATCTAGGTGCTGCAGAACCATATTGTGCATATGTGGTGCTTAGACTTTTATATTCGTAATGCGCCCCTCATGGACTTTTAAGTTTTTAAGCCACAGTCAATTTTGATCTACATCCACTTGAGTCCAGTTGCACATCACATCAATATATGATATTACTCAAAGCTCATTCATGTTCTGTCCCAACATGTTGATGATATATTATTTCCTTCGAAATTGATGGTATGAATATGTACAATGTCCTATCTTATTTTTACTTCAACAGCACACTCCATGCTGGTTCGAAACACACCAGATGGTGTCTGTTGGCATGTCTTATAAACATGCATTGAGGCTGGTGATTGGGGATAATACAGCAAGGAAATTTGCATCAACTATGTCCAGTTGTTAATGGCCTTATTACTTCTTGTTTCAGCTGAGGAGGAATTCAATGACTTGTGCTTTGAATTTGGACTGGAGCTTGATGAAGTGGTAAGGGCAAATTTGGTTCCTGGATGCCACATGTAGCTAGTGCTAGCTGCCCTGTGGCTGGTTGTGTTCAATGCATTTTATAGGGTGGGAGCCTGTTAGATGTGTTAAATGTGTCTTGACTAAACAAACCAGAAACATTGTAGTCTCAGCAGCCTGGTCATGCAGCCAAGAGTTTGTCAAAGCTATGTTTTTGTAACCACTGATCAGACTGCTGTGAAGTTTGCAGCAACAAATAAGATAATTCATGAAAATTGCATTGCTGGTGTGCTTTTTTTGTTTGTAGGATAAATATGAAAACTTGATAACCAAAGGGGATACATCTATGAAATGGTCATGTTCAATATGAGCGAGCATGCCATCTACAAATAATGAACAATTCCACCAGTCCTTCCCATAGATATGTAAGCAATATACTGATAGGTCACTAATGATAAGTCACCTTTTCCAACACCAGCTCTAAAATGAGACACTGCTTAGACAGTCAAAACCATGCGTTGTATGGTCCAGCTTCTTTTGACCAATATTCAACCGTAATTTTAGCATTTTCCCAGCACATGTGTCCTTGTCACCAGAATCATAAACTTTTCTAGCTGAATTCATCCCAAATGAAACTGCATTGCCATGGCATACTTAAAGGTAGTGAACATGCCAGCAATACCATTTAAAAATTTGTGCAAAGGCATTTTCATCAGCTGACCACTGTCTGCTAGGGTTGGTAAATTGGGCTATTCTGATGTTTTAATGAGCCATATCCATGCAGGCTACCTCAGGCACCAGGCTCCACTTGCTTGTGTTTGGGTATCACTTGCACAGTGATAAAAAAATCAAAGTGTGTTTTTGCTTTGTTGTCACCATGCTACAGAAGACATCTGGTTTGCATATGGAAGTCAGTTTTGGGCTGTTGTTTCAGTAGGGGAAGCAGATCCTTGAGTGGCCTCTGGCAATGGAACCAGAAATTATCAGACTATTGAAATACTTTGATGGCCTAGATCATCATCTTGGCATTACTTGCACTTGGCAGGGGTGGGGTTCAATTTAACCCCAAAGGGTTTTTTCAGATTGATTTTTGAATAGCATAGCATGGCTGCACCAAATTCATATAACTGTAACAGCCAAATAGCTGATCATTTTGTATAAGAAAATTAGATAAACCTGGCAAGGTGGCTACTCTTTGGCTGCGCAAAGTTAGGCCATGAATTCAATGAAGACAATTTCTTGGGGATTGTTCGAGCGGATGCAACAGCGGAGTGTTAAATGAGGCCATACACCTTTGAGATAGCTTATTAGGCAACATAACAGAATGAACAAATAACATTGACTTAGGATCAGGTATGAAGGTCAGGCCAAGATCAAAACCAACCAATTTTAAACTATAGACCTTGCTGTATGGCATAGTTTCTGGTGCTCATTTTGAAGTTATTGATGAAAGGCACAGCATGGTACATTTTTCATCGACTTCTTGTGGGTCACAATAGGTCACTGACCTAAAATGACCCCAGGTAAAATTTTTAGGAACATTCTGCCTGATGTGATATTTAACACTTATTCAAAACAAAAATCAAAGCAGTCTTGTATGATTCTGGTCACAATGAGGTTTGGAAGGTCAGATAAGGTCACTAGCCTTAGGCCATTGCACCCTATGAACTTGATGTTTTTTGCTCTCTTAGTTTCTGAGATCTCAAGGTGGGTCCAAATGATCCCCATCCTCACCCGAGCAAAGGGTATTCAACTGGCTACCCGGCCGCGTGTTTTAAAGGTACTGTTCCGTGCTTGTATCAGATTTTAAACTGAAATGGTAATGTTGGAGATCGTTCGCTGCAGTTCGCAGTCCTGTTCTTAAAACATAAGCCCCTCTTGAGTTTCTGAGCTACACGCCCGCGAGGATGTGCAGGCTTGCTCTTCGGGGGGGGGGGGGGGGAGACTATTGCAAGGTCACCCAGACATCCTTGATGCCATAATGATATAATTCAAGTGCTGCCATTTCGTTATCCATGCAGCGATCAAAGCCAACAAAAACACAATTGTTCAGTCGCGCTTATTGGGCTTTTGTAAGCACGATTCCCAGATATAAAGGCCATTAATTTGCTCGCGATGGAATTGGGCAAGGTATGATGGCATGCCCAAACAACGGCATAGAGGAGCATAGCTACCAAACAGATATGATGTGATGCCTAAGGCAGCGTTTTTCACTTAGCAGTATACTTGCAGCTATAAGTGAGTATTTCATCACATCTGGCGCTTCAGAATCTTCGATGTGGAACACTCCCTTTAAGTCAAGACCACCTAAGCAGATTTCTGCGTACCTCCGTCAGATATCTGGTGGCCCGCCCTAGGCTTAAGATTCTGGTGGCATCCACTTGTTTGTTGCTTATATGTAATACATAACACGGTTTATGTTAGTGCTGATAACTGGGGCAGCTAAGTATTCAGCACAGATAAACATAAATCAGTATCATGTACGAAGTAATGGGTCATGTTTCGTTTGTTAAGATCCACCACATTTTGGTCTTTGGATCCAGAGGGTTGGCCAAAGGGAGCTTGTTGCATGTGTGCCCCGGTCGTGCTACTGAGAGCAGACTAACCCAGTCCATCTCATAACTTTACCTTCGTTATTTTACCGGAAAGTACTGTGGAGGTTTTTATGCTTTGTGCAGTGCTGCAAGACAGCTGCCCTGGACCATGTTAGCTATCTTTGACCGGTTGTCAGGGCCGACCTTTCCATATTTTCGGGACCTGACAATGTTCCTGCTGTGGCACTGGGACTGGACTTGGACTGGGATTGCTCTGAGACAAAGTGTCACGAAATCACCAGCCCTACGTCGCGTCCTTCCCAGCCATCCCATCTTGCTTTCCTGCTCACCAACGCCTATGTTCGTGGCTCAGACGACAGAGAAGCAGATGATCTCCAAGGAGCAGGGTGGCGACAGGTCGTCCGGCGCCTCCGAGGACGTCATATTCAAGGTTGACATCCCGGCCAACCGGTACGACCTGCTCTGCCTGGAGGGCTTGACTCGAGGCCTGCTGGTCTTCCAGGGAAAGTAAGTGGCTGGCACAACGCAACAGATGATTGAGTGGTGCTCTCTTTGTCCGTCTGGTTTACAGTAGAGTTTCTATTACGCGGGCTTGTCAAATAGACTGTAGTGGCTGTGTCTGAAAAGTGACAACCAGTAGTGTCATCGATCAAAACGTGCACTACCCTCCGCGATTAATGCGTATAATGTGCATCGAGTGCCTTGTTATATGCTCACAGGTTCTGCATTGCTGGCCATTCATGGCATTATTTAATTATATTTCATTTTCACTTTATTCTCTTATTTTTACAATGCCAAGGAGCGCCATGAGGTATTTACCATTATTTCGCGTAATTTTACGCCTGTCAGCCTATGTGGACCTGTAGACACGTTGTCACTGCTGGGCAGGCTAGCCATCCCCCGGTACCGGGCCGTTCAGCCTCGCAGCGGCACCATGCAGCGGCTCATCATCAAACCAGACGTGAGTTCCTTGGGCCCTAAGGCTGTTCGCTGTGAATCGTTTCAACATGACCTTGTTTTTTTTGCAGCCGAGTTCTGAAAAGTGAATGCGTGTGTTGTTTTGTTGTTGTTTACTTCTGGCCCTCGTTTAGTTCTGGCACCACGCCGATCCACCCGCCGCAGTACTCCACCAGTCATCATCAGCCTACTAGTCATTTTTCCATTGTCGCTTTTGGGCTGCTGTCAGTCACTGAGCGCTTTTGATGGGAGGTGTGACCCACCATGCTGCCCTGGCAGACGGGCAAGATCCGACCGCACGCGGTGGCCGCTGTTCTCCGGGGCGTCACCTTCACCCAGGCCATCTACGACAGCTTCATAGACCTGCAGGACAAGCTGCACCAGAACCTGTGCAGGTCAGCAGCTTGGTCGCAGCCAGAATCGGCCAGTGGTATGCACGCTGCCCAGAGAAGAAAGTTGGCTGGAATAATTGTTTGAACTGATGTTATCGTCTAGCGTGTTAGCATGTACACCACATGTAGGCCTATCGATTATCCGGCCATAGTTGGGTGTTGTATAGTCCTGCGAAGCACTGGCTGGTGTTTGGTCTTCAGCCATGATTGCGTCGCAGCCGGTATTCTCACGATGAAATTGGCACGAACTGGGGTTTTCTGATTGCGAGTTCAGCGCTCTACTGTTTGAGCTAACCGGCAGGGGACCAGACGTTAGGATAGTCCGGGAAGGACCGGCCCTGAGAATAGTCTGGGAAGGCTGTCCGGTGTTAACCATTATTCCCTCCGTGATGCTGACGTGACAGTCCTTCCGTGAAACTACTATAGTCGGGTTTGCTTATTGGTTGTGTTGCAACAGCGAAAATATTTGATGTGTCCTTGTTACCGGAAAGCCATGGCATTCTTCTACTGTGCATGGCATTCTTGATATGCTTCAGTATATTTTAGTTACAATGTGTTGTACGTAGAAACAGGTTTTATTGGAAGAAGGCTCCGTACTCATAAGCCGGAAGTCTACTCTGCAGCTTTGCTGTTGATTTGGTCGCATATTGAGACCCCCGTTGTTCGCCCCCCCCCCCCCCCCCCGTCGTTTCCCGTTGTTGACCCGGTCAGGCCACGTCTCCACGCATTTGTGTACATTCCCCTAATTTCCATTGCGTATTCGTACCGGTCCTGGTTTAACGGTACCACAGTCTTTGCTCTCCGTGACCCCGCCGAGCCGACCAATGTCACGGGTGACCTGCCGACCCCCTGTCCCCGCCTCTCGCGTCCCCGCTAAACCTAACCCGCCCCGTCGCCTGCTCGGTGCCCCTCTTAGTACTCCACCGCTGACCCTGCCCCGTCCCTCGTGACCCTGCTGACCCCCTATCCCGCCCCGTCGCCGCCCCGCTGACCCAGTGCCCCTCTCAGCGTGACACCGCTGACCCTGTCGCCGTCCCGCGTGACCTCGCTAACCCTGTGCCCCACCCCGTCGCCGCAGGAAGCGCAGCCTAGTGGCGATCGGCACGCACGACCTGGACACGGTGCGCGGCCCGTTCACGTACGACGCGCTACCGCCAGGCCAGATTCGCTTCCAGCCGCTGGGACAGACGCGGTCGTACTCGGCGCCCGAGCTCATGGAGCTGTACTCGGTCAGTCGCCGCGCCCAGCCGGGGCGCGACACACGGCCGCACGGCGGCTCGCACGGTGTACGTGTATTGTGCTGCCTCTTTCAGCAGCAGCGTGGCGATTGTCATGTGCCATGGCTGATAGGAGGTTTGTTGTTGTTTTTTTAGCCCAGATGGACGGCGCGTGATGCCGAGCGTCACACACAGCGCCCTCAGCACACAGCATTGCACACCTCGTCCACAGCGCCCTCAGCTCCGGCGGACGTGGCTGGTGATGCCCACCTCCGGGCCACGTGGCTGGGGCCGCGCGGCCGGCGTGCTGAGCGGGCCGGTTCGTACTGCCGTCAGGGTGACAGTCACCTGAAGCAGTACCTGGCCATCGTCCGTGACTCACCCGTGTACCCCGTGATCACGGACGCTGACGGCGTGGTGCTGAGCATGCCGCCCATCATCAACGGACATCACTCGAGGATCACGCTTCAGACGCGGAACGTGTTCATCGAGTGCACGGCCACCGATCTGACCAAGGTGAGGGGCTGGAGTTAATCGAGGGGAGGGCTGGAGGTGACCAAGGGGAGGGGCTGGAACTGACTGAGGGGAGGGGCTGGAGCTGGCCGGGGGGAGGGGGTGGAGCTGACTGAGGGGAGGGCTGGAGCTGACCTAGGTGAGGGGCTGGAGGTGACCGAGGGAGAGGCTGGAGCTGACCGAGGGGAGGGGCTGGAGCTGACTGGGGGGAGGGGCTGGAGGTGACCGAGGGGAGGGGCTGGAGGTGACCGAGAGGAGGGGCTGGAGCTGACTGTGGGGAGGGTCTGGAGCTGACCTAGGTGAGGGGCTAGAGCTGACCTAGGTTAGGGCTGGAGAACGGTCGCTTTATTTCCGACGAAATGCCGCAGGTCTGACCTTTTCGGACTTAATTGGCGACGATTTTCGGCTGTTTGGCATAGGACAGCTGTTCTCATTTTTGACAAACGTAGGATTTGCAGCCAGTTATATACCTCGGTGGTCACTTAAATTGTATTGGCGCAACATGGCATGATGGTACGCCCTAAAACCCAATAATTATCAAACAAATTGATGGATTCCACCAGTCAGCTGCAAAATGTCATTGGGTTCAGACGTTCGCTGCTTTTGCAGGCCAAAGTGGTGCTGGACACGCTGGTGTGCATGTTCAGCCAATACTGCAAGGAGGCCTATACGGTGGAGTCTGCGCAGGTGGAATACCCCACTGGAGAGAAGCACAGCTATCCCACGCTGTCGTACCGGAAGGAGACGATAGATGTCAGCACCGTCAATAGGAACGTGGGAATAACGTAAGTCCCCAAGTATTCTATTAAGATGTTCGGTTTCGCTGATAAATTCGAAAAGCTGGTTAAACATTTTACAGGATTTTCTTCGGTTTTAATATCAGATCATTTCACGGCAATCTCTTTCATGAAAGTCCAGTCCGGATAACTTAGTGTGTTCCCTGAACTGCAGGTTTTGGCATTCACAACGTTCGTGATAATCTTCAGTAGGATACTAGCAAGCGGGCAATAGTGCATTGTTGTTGGGCACTAGCGCGGTTTGAGTTACCAAAATTATGCACTGTATCGTCAAAAATGTTGTCACCTGTTTGCGTTTTGTATGCATAAGTATCATATTCGGCACCGCCATAGTTCGCCGCGCATCACCTGGCATGGCAAAAAAAACACAAGAAAACGTGATCTGCCCCCGCCCCCCCCCCCCGTCCCCCTGACGCTGCTCTGGTTGCCGTGACATCACCGCCTCCTTTCACGTCACACAGCCAGTCGTCTGAGCAGCTGGCGACGCTGCTGACCAAGATGTGCCTGTCGTGCACGGCCGACGGCGACCGGCTGACGGTGGAGGTGCCGCCCACCCGGCACGACATCCTGCACGCCTGTGACGTCATCGAGGACGTGGCCATCGCCTACGGCTACAACAACATCCAGAAGGTCATCCCGCAGATCGGCGTCATCGCCGTCCAGGTGCGAGGCAGACGGTGGCGGTGGTGGCGGGAAACAGAGCCAGCAGCGGCTGCTATTGGAGGGTAATGTTTACACAAGCCGCCAGGCACTGCATGGACAGGGTGCAGTGCACAACTTGTAGGTTGGAGGAGGGACGGGGGTCCCTCCGCCCTGGTGACAAGGCTAGGTTCATGTGTTGAGGGGTTTGCTGATATGGAAGAGGAGAGTGATTTTCACTGGATGTGTGCTGCGATGTTTCTGGGAATGGCGATGAGAACGGAGATGTGAAGAGACCACGGGCGCTCCTCATTGGACGTGAGCTGGAATATTATCCGTAAGTGCGGTGGCTGCGTTTTGAAGACATTCCGTACAGCTCATGGTTTTCCTACATTCTTTGAGCCATGGCAGTGCATGTGGGCTGGTCTTTGCGTACATGGGGGCCATCTGGCCGCGCGGCTGCGCGACTCCAGCGCTGTTGTGTGTTGCAGGACCCGCTGAACAAGCTGTCGGACCAGATTCGTCAGCAGGTGGCTGAGGCAGGCTTCACCGAGGCTCTCACCTTCTCGCTGGTGAGTGGTCGGCCGCTGGCGGCAGCGGAACCGGACGGCCAGCTCGGTAGCGGCACCCACAGCTGGCCGCGGCGGGCGGCCGGCTAGCTGCACCTGGGACCCCTCCCTCCCTCCCTCCCTCCCTTCCATCGCGTGGCGTCCACGTCAGCTGGCGTGTCTATTGCGGCAGTCATTGTCGGGCTGGTGGTGGTGATGACATCCCAGTTCGACTACTTGCTTTCCATCTCATGGTGTCAAATGTTCTTTTCTTACGACACGACGAGCAATGATTGCACTTGTTACTTTGAATATCTTTTCAAATTTATGACGTGTGTGTTCCATGTAATCCTGCTGTAATCGAACCCCAATCAAGCGCACTCTGTAGCTGATTGCCTTTATGAGTCGTACCTGGCCGTCAGCGTCACGTCTTTATTGCAGTGTTCCAAAGAGGACATCGGGGCCAAGATGGGCCTGGACGTGTCACAGCTGCCTGCTGTACACGTCTCCAACCCCAAGACGCTAGAATTCCAGGTATGAAACACGGCGCCATGATCTTTTGTGGGAGGAGGTGCCCACCCATTCTCAGCACGCAATCTTTTCATAGGTTAAGGAGTTGTTCTAAGATTATTTCCTATTAATTGTACAGGAGTTCAAGTATCCGAGGACATACCTCGAAATACTAATATGCCATCATAAGGTCCTTCCTGTTCGTGTTCATGTTTGCCGTGGCGCTGTTTTCCTTTCCCCCATGTAATGATGCAGTGACGCTTCTGCTGCCCTCTGTTCTCTCTGTGGTGGTGCCGCTGAGTTTCTGATGCTGCTGCTGTCCTCTCGTCCTCGGTGACGCTGATGCTGGGCTCTGTCGCTGCCGCCCTGGTGACGTTGGTGTTGGGCTCTGTTCCCCTGATGGCTGCCCTCTGATGAGCTGGTGACGCTGGTGCCGCTCTGGTGCAGGTGGCACGCACCACGCTGGTGCCGGGTCTGCTCAGGACCCTGGCTGCCAACCGTCGGATGCCACTGCCGCTGCGGCTTTTCGAGGTCTCTGACGTGGTGCTCAAGGATCGGACATCGGGTGAGTGCACTGATCGCCGAGGTTACGGCCGTGACTACCTCAGCTGGGAGATGGGGTGGCGGCGTGGGAGATCCGCAGGCACATACGGGTCGGGGGTGAGGCTGACCGGGTCGTGGGTGGGGCTGAGCGGGTCCTGGGTGGGGCTGAGCGGGTCGCGGGTTGCAGTCGGTTCGCAGAGCTCTGACTCCGGCCCGTAAGGGGACCCGGGCCGGTAAAGCTGTGGCGGGTACTGAGCTGGGGTGGCCGACGCGGACCGTGGCGGGGCTCGGTATCCCTCGTCCGGCCGCGCGGCGCCCGCTGACTCCAGTGTCGGAATCCGCCGGCGCCGACCCCCCGTCGGCATGGACACTGCCCTCCAGTGGTCCGTATGGCGGGCGGCCGCCGTGCCCCCTGTTGACGACGCGCTGACCTCCAGACACGGGCGCGAGGAACGAGCGACGTCTGTCGGCCGTCCACTACTGCAAGACATCCGGCTTCGAGGTGATCCACGGCCTTCTGGACCGCGTGATGCAGCTGCTGGAGGTGCCGTCCGACCCGGTCTCGGGCTACTGCTTGCGCCCTGCCGACGGTCAGTCCCTCCTGTCCCCGGCCGATGTGGCACACCAGACCGGAACCATGCGGCGGTCCCGTGACCTGGGCTGTGCGTAGCAACTGCGCGCGCGATAATGCGCAGCTGCTGACGTGTCTGGGACCGTGACCGTGTCTCACACGCACTTACCTGTGTGGTCTATTGTTCCGCCGCCTTTCGACCCACCTAAGGTCGTGCTCCACTCCTGTAGGCCCGGCCAATGTCCCCCTCCCCCTAGTTGACCCGTCTGGGGTTATGTTTCCATTCAAAGGAGCCTCAGTTTTTTTTTCTCACCTTTTCATATGCATGAGTTCATGCAGCTTTATGTTCCCTAGTGCTCCTAATGTGTGGGAGGTCTGTTCCGTCCTCCCATTTCGTCCGTTTCGACCATCTGAAGCATTGTTCCTCTGTGGATCCACCTGAGGTGTTCAGGCGAGTGATCACCAGTCCCAGTGAAATCTTGCTCCGCCGTTGTTAACTGACACTGATGCCATCTGTCGGCAGATCCGTCCTACTTTCCGGGCCGCTGCGCTGACGTCATGGCGTTCGGCGAGCCCATTGGTCGGCTGGGCGTGCTGCACCCTGACGTCATCACGCGTTTCGAGCTGAACATGCCGTGCTCGGCGGTCGAGATCACGCTCGAGCCGTTCCTGTGACAACCGCCGTTCCCACGAATACACTGTGCGGGCGCATGGCGGAACGGTGTTTTATCTGAGGATGGGGGACGCAAAGAAGCGTGCTATTTCCGAGGCACTACAAATGGTGGGTTCCGACAGGTGGAGATAACTGCTTGTCTCTGCAATACAAATGCCTGAGGGTGATAACAAAATTCGAAACGTCGTCTGAGGATGTTACTGTGGGAGAAAACCACACATGTGTAAAATGCAAGGCTATCTGCACAACGTGTGGTAATGGCCACAGCTTACCGAAGTTCTTCCTCATTCGAAGTGAGTAAGACCTCTCGGTGGGATTTCGGGGTAGGGGGTGGGTGCATCGCGCAGAATGAGTCCACTCAGCGCTGCCGGGCTTCGCCCCCCCCCCCCCCCCCCACGGCACTCCGAAGTCCCGGGTTGCGTCCAGTGGTGCTGTTGATGACAACCAGGGCAACCGATGGGGGCGTTGCTGCTTGCTCCCTGTGATCGGAGTGTTGAAGACCTGGATCGAGGTGGCCGCCCTCTCTGCGGTAGCGTTGAGGACTCGGAGCCCTTCAACAAAAACTGGACTAGGTGCTAAGTCGTCGGTGGGTCACGTTGTGGGTTCCTGGGACGTCGAACCGACCGTGACTCGAGTCGTTCGAAAATGAGCTGAGATTCTCCTGTACAAGCGAAGCTTGTGAGCTGTTTAGTGCAGATGGAAGGGAAGGCAGAAACAGGGACCGACACTGGTGCCATCGACATCTGTACCATCTAAATTTGGTTAATTTTCTGCAGCCCCCTTCCGGAGGATTGCACGAGCGATGGCGTTCACCGCTTGCAGTCTGGCCTGGATGGAAGAGGGGAGACTGACCCGTAGTTCGCTCGGGTATCACACGTCACGGACAAGGGCATTGCGACAAGTCTAGGAGTCCTCGGCGCCAAGTTATTCTGTCATGTTTTGGGAGAGCGGGGGGGGGAGGGGGGGCAAGCGCAAATCCTTCGCGAGAGCGGAGGATAGACCCGGGGTCGCTAACCGCACGGGGACCTCAGCTCCAGCACGAGAAAGGTGATCAGCCTCACGCTGCAAGGCTGATGAGCCGTCTGTTGGAATCGAACGATGATGAGCGCGGTCCTCCTTGCATATACTGCCACCCGCCGGGCCCCGTGGTGTACCCGGGCCATGGGAGCCGAAGTGTACCGGGCCGTCGGAGCCGAAAGGTGGCTTCAGTTCCGTCGACGCTCCTGGTCGCCAGCTGCAGGGGCTCACGGCAATTGCCACCCTTACGCTCACTTGAGGCGAGGACCCGACTATTTACGTAAGAGGACAGTGCATTTCTGGCCCATATTGATTTCACAATCAATTATTTACCTTGACGGGATCTTCTGACACCATTAAAAGCATCCTGGTACACCAAGTTTACGTAAGCAGTGCATACATGAGTCATGCCTGGTTGACCACTGCGTGGTAGATGCTTTCCGCTCCGTGTGTTGCGGCCATTCATTTCGCACAACTGGCGTTTTTTGGACACGATCCGGAAAACCCGCAACAGCGACTTTATATTGCATAACACGAGGTAGTTTTACACAGCCATAGTTCGGGCACAAAGTGACCGCCGCTGGCTACGCATCCCAAAGGCGAAATAACAACGGTAATCGCCACGCTGCTGGCGGTGCTGGGCCAGCCGGAGCTTCCAACCATCAATCAGAATGAGAACTCGACTTTCATTCAGGCGGCCATTCGTTCTTACTCAAAAGTGGCCGCCAGTCGTTCAACGCCCCTGCTTCCTCCGTCATTCAGAATTATTCCTTCCCAGTGCACTGCTAACATTCGCCCGGCTAGGCGAGAGCGAGAGCGAGAAAGAGGGAGAGAGAGAGGGGGGATATACATACATACATATATATATATATATATATATATATATATATATATATATATATGCCTACATGCAACAACCTCCAAACCGCGAGATATCGAAGAGGAGAATGAACACTGGTGGCCTGTTGTTTATCATCCAAAGTATTCATGTGTCACCAAGGCGACATCTTGATAAGTGTCATTACGGAAAACTAGCAAACAACGAAAATTGTGCTGAATGCCACTCGGAATTTCCATAAGAACTCTATGTAACAGGTCGCATTGCGATCCTCTTGCATGGGTCAACGGGCAACGGCAGGTGGTAACGACACTCGCACGGGCACTGGGCCAGGGAGTCTCTCCTTCCCCATGTGAATATATTGGGGGAATGTCGCACTAACGACAGTGAGGTTGGGGCACAGGGGGATAGATTGAATGAGAATGCGAAAGCCAAACCACACTACACATTTATGTAGTGGTTTCAACCGAATGTTGCAGATGCATGAATTGCGTTCGAAGCATCGAAGTACGGCTAACAAAATCACTGCAGATTGTTGAATATTGTGAACACAAGTTTATAAGGGCAATGGAAGTATAATCCGAGAAAAGGACTGTTCATCCGAGTGAACAGGTGAAAGCAATATCATGCGAGATTCGGGCTGTAAGGTGCGTGTTCCAGCATCTCATTCTCGTGTTCTGGTAACGTCTGCTCCGCTTCACGTGTCACGTGGGGCGCGCATTGTCATGCTGTCTTTCGTGTCGCATTTGCTTGCCCTTTTCCGTGACTGACAAGACACTTGTCTGGTACTCATCAGCATCCTCGAGAGCAGGCATTGTTGGCGCTAAGGGAATTGTCGGAACAGCATATGAAAGAGAACGTCCCAAAATATAATAGAACGTTCCTCTTCTTTGGAATCGTATCTCGTCATAGGCCGTAAAGTCCCGCCATAAAAAGGCAGCTAGGTAATCTATGGCCTCATAGATTGGCTGGCTTGACAGCATGCTCTATTATCAGCCTGCGGCGCGGCGCAACCGTACAAATACACTACGAGTAACAAATGCGCAGGCATCGTCACACTAATTGCTTGGCTAAATGTACGTTGCAAACGCTCCGCTGATACGAGCCAGTGACGTCTTTGCCGCTCCGTTGAGCACTGTCATTATGTCCTGCCGTTTAGGAGAAAGTGTCTTTCCGCGCAACATGTTCTTTGTTCATCGTCGGCGTGCATGTCTCACCATACATACTTTGCCGGAATATGTCGTGTTCTCTGTTACCCCCGACATTTCTGCACAATGCGACCCGGGCCACTTTGCGTGCGGCGGCTTTGTCTACAGACGCGTCAGACGCCTGAAGCGAGCAAACAGAGTCGCTCGTTTAAGGCTGGGCGGAGCCGCCGGCCGCTCTGGTATTCAGGCCCGCATTGACTCGTTGCCATTGAGCGCGGAGGCGACGCGAGCAGTGGCTTCGTTAGGCTGGCGAGCGCGGCTGGCTTGCAGGCTTATTCAGGCGTGGGATCGGCCAGCTGGCCGGCAGACGAGTGCCCTGCAGCCCTCCGGAGCGGCCGGCAGTGGTGGCCCCGTGGCGGGCTCGCGCTGGCACCGTTGGTCTCCGGCCTGGACCTCACTGACAGGTGGGTCTAGCCCAACGAGAACAGGCCGCTACGAATCTCTCGCAGCGCCACGCTTGTGCGGAGCGTTGCGCTTCACCAGTGGCGTATCGGAGAGGGTATGGCCACCGGGTGCAGGTCCTCCTGTTTCAATCTCTGCATGCATTAATATGCATGTGATGCACTTGAATAAATGTGGGTAATACAAAAATACAGGTTGATGCATTAAAAAATAATGGATTGAGAGTATGACATGTTGGTTGGTCTACGCTTCACCATAAAGTGCGCGCGCCCACGGCGTGCTGAAAGAAAAAATTTTATAGTTAAAGGTGTAGAGTTTTGTCTCTATTGCAGACTGCAATGCAAATGTGAAGGCAAGATTTGCCGTCTCTGTGGTCCAGGGGAACGACGCCGGTCTCGTAATCCAGCAGCACTGGGTACGAGTTCCAGGGCGGGCGCGTTGTTTGACTTGACTGAAATGAGTAAAATGGAAAGATCAGCTGGCAACTGGCCGACGAGGGTGGCCCAGGCCTGGGGCTGCAAGACCGCAACCTTGTGCGGCACGAAAAATTTTCCGCATTTCTGCTTGGCAAGAGGGCGGAGGTGAATTTTATGGCACGACGTGGGTGGTACGTCCCTTTGCGTGGTACTGGTTTGAGAATTGTATTAATATGTTTCTTAAGAGGTTAAGGAGATTGCGGAAATTCACCTCTAGGGTTGTTCTAGAAGAACTTATGGGTAGCTCCGAGTACGATGTTGGAAATTTGGATACCTGAATTTAAATCACTCTTACTCATGTGAAATCCAAAGTTTTTGACCTGGACGTTTCATGATTTATGATTTCTATCTTTAAGTTATGCCGGAGAATAGTGCAGGTACAGCCTGGGGGAGGGGGGGGGGGGGGGGGTAGAGGAGCCAGTTGGGCTGACTGATCCTTACCTGCCCTCTGGTAAGGGTATACCTTCTGGCGGGTATACCCTTACCAGACAGTTGAGATGTCTGGCGGGGTTGTTTCTCCCTCAAAATTTTCCATTCTGTGGCCTTGGTGGCCTTCTTACCCAAAGAAAAGCTTCTTAGCTCAAATGGATTGCCAAAATTAGATCAAAGAGACTCCCATTGATGAGCTACAAGGAAGTAAACTGGACCAAGAAGGCCCTTTTCCGCATCACGAGGCCCGTCTTCTGGATCACGAGACCACCCTCACGAATTAGGTGACCCGTGCTCTACAGCAGGAGGCATAGTTTTGTATTAAAAGGGCCTTTGGTGTCTCGGGAGGCTTGCCGTTATGAACTAACAAGCCTCCTTTTCGGAGGCCCCAATTTATAAGCAATGAGGCGTCCGTTATGAGATGGGAGGCCCGTTATGAACTAGGATGCTCCCCTTTCTGAACCAGCATGCTCCCGTTTTGGTCTAGGCGGCCCCGTTAGGAACTAGACGTCCCCTTATGACCTGGGAGCCCCGTTGTGAACTATGATTTTCGTTATTACTGGTGAGGTTCCCATTACTTGCCAGGAGGCTCTGTCATGAGCGAAGATGACCCTATTATGTGTGTATGTATGTATGTATGTATGTATGTATGCACGTATGTATGAATATATGC